CCTAGTGTATACTAGTACTAAGTACCTAACCAAGATGAAGCGTTCGGAAGTCGCTGTTCGGCTCTCGGCAATCTTCGGGAGACTTCGGTATCTGTTCGTATGGTTCTTTGGAATCCTCATCAGTTTGTGACCGTGTTCAGTGTACGTATGATTCTAGGGAACCTTTCAACGGGCCGTGTTCACGGTGTTATGTGTTATGTGACTGTATGATTTTTGGGAATATTTCAACGGACCACTGTATTGTGATGGCAACGGGCTGAATGAGTAGACACAGTGTATGTTCTAACATGCGCGAAACAATAATAAGGATTTTATTTAATGGTTTACAAAACAATGTAACGTTACATGTATTGTTAGATCTCAACAAAAACTCGGTGGCCTAGCGCCTGTGGTGTGACTTTGCCGCGGACGGACGTGCGTTCGACAGCTCCGCTGTATCAGCGCTAGTTCAGCAAAGTCGTGTCAATCCCCCGGGTGAACATGTCCCAGCGTGCTCGGTTCTGCCAGCGCCGCGAAGCCCTGCAGAAACTTCAGCATCGGGCTAGGCGGCTGCCGGATGACATCGTGTCCAAGCCCAGATCTGTTGTGCAAAGAGATGACGAACTCCAGATCAAGGTATAACAGATATTCTTATACAGATTTACCTTGTGTTTATACGCCGGAGTATGCTGGCCCGGTTTGGGGAGGCCTGCCCAAACGCCTCTCAAATATACTTAAAGGTGTGCAAAAGAGATGTATTAGGATCATTGGCATCCCAGTTGAATCCTTGCCTTCCTTGTCCACAAGGCGAGATCAGGTCACTCTGCGCGCAATTCAGAACATCTTTAAGGATGCTGATAGTCCTCTGCTCGATTTTGTATCCACTCCGACACAATGTAATTCATTCCAACCTGCGCAGAGGTAAACCAGTCACTGTCTCTACATCTAGTAAAACGAAAAGACACCAACAGTCTTTTATACCTCGTCTAAAGCTATTGTCTACTGACCTGATCTTTGTGGCTTTATGATGTTATTCTTCTCTAGTAATACTGATTTTAGAATGCTTAGCTATTGTGCTCTAGCCTGGGTACCATCCCCAGTAGTATATTCGCAAACTCTATAACCATGGGCGATAGGCCACCGAGTTTTTGTTGAGATCGCTGTTGCTTTGTTTTATGAACACTCGTATACTGTGCACTCCGTACAAGCTTAAGATTCCCGATAATCATACACTGAACACAAACACTATGAACACGGTCCGTTGAAAGGATCCGAAGAGTCATGAACTCAACACATAACACCGTGAACACTGTCCGTCGAAAGATTCCCGAGAATCATACACTCATCGCATAACACCGTGAACACGGTCCGTTGAAAAATTTCCCTAGAATTCTCTGTACAATGAACCATACATATATAATACATACTGCTGGGTACTTGGTCCGCTGAATCATACAATAAAAAGCACACTCATTACTCAGCTGTTACATTGGCGTTCAGGGTAGCGCAAAGGCCGACGGGAATAGAACAGGTTTCGCAAACTCGAATGCGTTCGCAAAACCGCTGCTCGACTCGATAGAACCCCAAGCCGGGGCTAGCGCTAGCGGTGATAACTTCAAAAAGATGACAGGGTAGGAAACACCTACCCGTGAACTGCGTTACCAACTGGGGTGGCAGCAAAAATGTGACTTAGAATCACGTTCGGTGTGAAGTCCCTGCCTCCCCAGACTCAGAAAACAACGATATAGTACATTTTAGAGATATTGGGCACAACTACACTTTCCAAATCTCATGCCTGGGAAACATATGTAGAACTGAAAACATGTCGGTGGGGTTTGTGGACGTGTTTAGAGTACATTTACACATAGCATGTCAAGACTCTTGTCGGGTGATGTAGCCAGTTGTGTGCGTTTACATTTTAGAACCGCGCGGGAAATGTGGGCCTATCGTGCGTCTGATTGGCTAGCGATGATGTCATTGACCTGTACAGCAGCGACCTGGTAACGCAGTTCGCCGGAAATTGGACTTTACAAAATGCTTCATATCTTCTTTAAAATATGGTATCATACCCCCAAAAAGTTTACATGGCTACTTAGTTACCCCTTGATTATAGATAGTATCAAGACTTTTATTTTCCTTATGGCATTTCGCAGAAAATAGGGTCTTTTGAAATGGCATTTCGCACCTAGTGTATACTAGTACTAAGTACCTAACCAAGATGAAGCGTTCGGAAGTCGCTGTTCGGCTCTCGGCAATCTTCGGGAGACTTCGGTATCTGTTCGTATGGTTCTTTGGAATCCTCATCAGTTTGTGACCGTGTTCAGTGTACGTATGATTCTAGGGAACCTTTCAACGGGCCGTGTTCACGGTGTTATGTGTTATGTGACTGTATGATTTTTGGGAATATTTCAACGGACCACTGTATTGTGATGGCAACGGGCTGAATGAGTAGACACAGTGTATGTTCTAACATGCGCGAAACAATAATAAGGATTTTATTTAATGGTTTACAAAACAATGTAACGTTACATGTATTGTTAGATCTCAACAAAAACTCGGTGGCCTAGCGCCTGTGCTATAACTGGGTCTGGACTTGCACACATATGTAGCGTCTGGAGTCTAAATATTCGTTCAGATTTTGAACGAGCGCGCTGATTGGTCCTACTCGTCTAAGCCCTTTTTTGGGTGTGTACATATTAGGTAAGGGCTGTTCGGATGTCCGAACGGCGACGTTAGCGTCCGTTCGAACGTCCGAACGCCTTATCATCAACATGTCCGACGGCGAACCGAACGCTAAAGCGCACATGATATAGCCGTAGTTAGTCTTTCCGTGATAAATCATCAACATGGCTAACGCACAAGCCGCTCAGCTCACGGAGGTTGATGTTGACCTCGCAATCACGTCCGTTTTGGACGATTTAGACGGAATATCGTCGCTCAAAAATGAGCAAAAAGATGCATTGAATGATGTTTTGGGCGTCCTACCGGTAAAAAAAGAACGCACCGAGAAAAGGAACACTCGCGCGAAGATCTGTGTTTACAAAACAACAAACATCACTTGAATAATGCAGGTGCGCCATTGGACGTCACCTCTGAGGCTCAGCCAATCAAATGAAGCCCCGCTGCTCGGGCTAGCTCATTACGTGACGTCATGACCAATCGTTTTATATGTGTGCAAGTCCAGACCCAGTTATAGAGTTTGCGAATATACTACTGGGGATGGTACCCAGGCTAATTGTGCTCATTGATGTGATAAATCTTTATGACGTATTTTCATCGCTAATGATGCAGATATATGTAGGGTTTTATGCTATCTATTTGTAATAATTGGACACAAGTTGTAAACACTCGAAATATTTTATGCAATTAATGTGACATGCCAGTCGATATCAAATATATATCTGAATCTGAACCTTGAATCTGAATCTGAAGGTGCTGGCCCAGTTGTTCATCGCGCAGGTGAGAACCCCGCCGCGCCCCTCCGGGTACTGCGCCAGGTCCTCACCTGTTGAGGACTCGCCGTCACCCGACCCCGAGTCCCGTGTTCCCGACATCAGCTGTGACTCCGACCGTGACCGTGATGGATCTACCCCAGGTAAGTATGACGTTCTGCAAGCAGAGGAGTCCGACAGCGATAGCGAGACCGACAGCGGCAGTGAGTGCGACAGCGGCAGTGAGTCCGACAGCGGGGAGGAGGACGACACCTGCCGTAGTCGGTTGGACACCATCTGCGAGGAGGAGAAGGAGGAGGCCATCTGCGGGGAGGAGGAGGACACCATCTGCGAGGAGGAGGAGGACGCCATCTGCGGGGAGGAGGAGGAGGAGGAGGACGCCAACTGCGGGGAGAAGGACGCCGACTGCGAGAAGGAGGAAGACGCCATCTGCGGGGAGGAGGAGGACTGCGAGGAGGAGGAGGACGCCATCTGCGGGGAGAAGGACGCCATCTGCGAGGAGGAGGACGCCAACTGCGGGGAGGAGAAGGACGCCAACTGCGGGGAGGAGAAGGACGCCAACTGCGGGGAGGAGGAGGACGCCATCTGCGGGGAGGAGGACGCCAACTGCGGGGAGGAAGACGCCAGCTTCGACGACGTGGACCTGGAAAGTCTCTCTTCAAATCAATCAGAATACATCAGAGGTAAGGACAACAGTTTTCTCCTCATTTCTCCCCTATTCACCCCTCACTGTTACAGACTTGACTTCAAACTGATGGACGTACCTTCAGTACCACGGATATAACGTTACCTACTGTGTAGCGCAACCGACAATTTTCAGATGACCTGGACAGATATTTATCAGCCTGAACATGCTCTAATTCTCACATATCCAGTGCTCTGGTGTGTGTATTTACAACTGTTAGATTATTAGACAACAGAGACCTTATTGATGCATAGATTATACTTTGTGATGATACGGAATGTCAATATTTCTGTACAACTTGTAGGAAAGAAGAGAGGCACCAGCAGGAAGACGAAGTGGTGGAGGAAGCTCTGCTGCTGGCTCAGACAAGAGGACACAGATGACGAGCTGGAGTAGTGGTTAGTAACACTTTGTTGATTGGCTACACTGACACATTGTTCAAATTGAGACTATATCATATAAGAAAAATCAGGGGGTGGTCACGAAGATGTTTTGAACCCTCAAACCCCCTTAAAGACAATATGAATATTGCTGGACTCGCATTGCTTTGTCTTAGTATGGAATCCACCCATGAACGCTTGGTATCCGCTCCGTTCATCCGCTCCGTGAAGGCAGGATACGCAGCGTTTACGGATGGATTCCAGACAAAATTAAATGTGTGAATAGTCATTTAGTACGGTCTCACGTTGTTCTTTATCTTTCCTTTCAGACAGAAAGTCCAGGATGGGAAGTGACTTAATAAAGACTTTTATTTTTGTATCCTACGAGAAGATGACAATCACTACCTATAATGGATTGTAAATAATCTGAAATAAGACAACTTTGTATCATGCATGATATTAAAGCTTGATGGTCAGAGAGGACCATAATGCTGAATAACACAAAGTTGTATTGTCTTATCTGTTTGTTTCCTACCAATCTGCAGACAACTGCATCTGTATATATAAGGAATACTGTATGTGATATCATTCATATGAATTTCTACCTTTGAAAAATAAGGACAACAGCATGTCCAGAACACGAAATAACAAAACTCGAAGTCCTGATGCAGTGCCTGAAGAAGTCACTAGGGGACCCATTATCTAATCTAATGTAACCTACCAACAATTACCAGATATCAGATATTATAATCAATACTCACATACAGACAGGGCAAAGGTAATAAAATGAGCAGTACGGTATATACACATAAGGGACCAGGTTTGCTACGCTAGTAAGTGCAACACATCAGGATGCTGCCTAGAAACATAACAAGAGTTCCACGATCTCATAAATTTGCCAGATGATCTTAACATTTATGACTGAAGAATTGCAATATTTTACATAGATTATGCAAATACGATAATCATTTGCATGAATTATCATACTATCTACCCAAGGACCTCCAAAAATTCCTGGAAATTAGGGACCTCTAAAAATTGCGGAAAAAAATTGGGACCTCGATCAATAAATAGCTGAAAATTATTCTTCTTCGTTACTGCCAAGCCCCACAACTGGTGTTATCGGCAGATTGCGCATGGGCTAGTAACATGTAACACATGGGCTTTCCAGACATACTCATCGCGTTAGGTGTAAATGAGTACCTAGCCTCGGTTAGGGACGTCCCTGGGATAGGACGTTAAATGGAGGCCCCGTGTTTGGGAGAGCTACACCCCACCCACCCGTTAAAGAACCCACCACACTTATCGAAAAGAGTAGAGGACGTTCCCGGTTGAGTAGTTCAAACCTTGCAGTCTGGTCTCAGTGATGACATCTTGAAGAGGTGATAGAGGTTATGTCAATCCTTCTACAAATGTGGCAAATATTCATAGATAAAAATGAATGAATGAATAAATATCACAGCCACGTGTGTGCTTGCCTCACCAGGTTTATGATGTTAGCCATTGCCAGATCTAGTGTGACATTAGTGGGTCGTTTGAGGTCTCTGATGGGGCGGATATAGGGGTGGTAGCCGCTCTTCACAAACAGATCTTCATGCAGACGAAGAATGTCAGGCTTCTTGAGGGATGTGGAGTTCTCTAAATGACGTGTGAGGGATGTGGAGTTCTCTAAATGACGTGTGAGGGATGTGGAGTTCTCTAAATGAAATGTGGACAATAACGATGGATTTAGTATGTTTCGATTATGACAATGACCATCTCCCCCAACAAGCAATCACAAATGTGACCTTCATGAAACCTTAATGGAACAACTGAAAGATATGAAATACAATTTCTATCATCACTATCATTATTGCAGCAAACTGAATTTTTGTGCGTGTGACCTATGATTAAAGTATCAATTAGACCGATCATCTACAATTAGATGTAATCACTTTAAAGCTAACTCCGGTAGAACTGGACATTCGCTCTGTGATGTAACCTGCAATTATGCCCTCCTATATGCACTGAGTACCACAAATGAAAGCTGCAAGATCAACGAATTCAGTCCTAATGATCTCTATTTTTAAGTATTTAACACGCGCGTGTCCCCTATCTAAGTATTTTATGCGCGTTGTGGATATTCATTGAAAAAAAACTCTTTTAACAGTTATGATATATTGCTCTACCACATGTTCTTTTTTTGCCTTACGTGTATTTCCACCACGTATGTTGTGCCTCTGCTTTACCTCCTCATGGCAACAAAGTGATTAATGTTAATCATGATGACGTCTAATATATCATTATTACATCACTTCGACCATATGTAATCGTCTAAGTGTGTTTCTTGGGTTGATCTCTTTGGACCACTTGATAGCAAAATAACGTTGGGTTAAACGTTGTTGAATGAAATAATAGAAAACAGTTTTGATAAACTGAACTTGACGTATTCGTTTTTATATCATACCCGGGCCGCGATAACGTTCGATAACGGGTTCCGGA